TGCTCACCTTCACACACACACACGCACACACGCACCCGTACACACGCACACACACACACACACGCACGCACACACGCACACACGCACACACACACACACACACACACACGCACGCACACACACGCACGCACGCACACACACACACACACACACCCACGGCGTGAAGGGCGTGCTGGCGATAAGGCCTCGAGTAGAGGGCTAAATGTGGAGCCAGAAACGATAAGAAGGAGGAGCGACCAGTCGAACCGTTAGCAGGAGACAGTCGGTCCCGAGGACTAGGAGGAGGACGCGGAGGAGGATGAGGAGACCAGAAGGAAGGAAGGTCAACAAGAAGCAAAGAGCATAGTGAAGGAAAAAACGTTAACTAGGATACGAAGAAAACTTTTGAAACACTGAGAGGAGACGAGAGGAGGATCGGCTGAGAAGACGGGGAGGTGAGGAGGGGGAGCAGGAGGTCTGGGGAGGTGAGGAGGGAGACAGGAGGTCCGGGGGGTGAGAAGGGAGAGCAGGAGGTCCGGGGGGTGAGGAGGGAGACGGGAGGTCCTTCAGAGGAGGGAGACAGGAGGTCCGGGGGGTGAGGAGGGAGACAGGAGGTCTGGGGGGTGAGGAGGGAGACAGGAGGTCCGGGGGGTGAGAAGGGAGAGCAGGAGGTCCGGGGGGTGAGGAGGGAGACGGGAGGTCCTTCAGAGGAGGGAGACAGGAGGTCTGGGGGGTGAGGAGGGAGACAGGAGGTCTGGGGGTGAGGAGGGAGACAGGAGGTCCGGGGGGTGAGGAGGGAGACAGGAGGTCCTTTCAGAGGAGGGAGACAGGAGGTCCGGGGGGTGAGGAGGGAGACAGGAGGTCAAGGGGGGGTGGAGGAGGAAGACAGGAGGTCCATCATAGGAAGGGAAAAAGGAGGATCCGGGGGTGAGGAGAGAGACAGGAGGTCTCTCCGAAGAGGGTGACTCATGACCTTGAGGATCGTAGCAATCCCAGAGTGAGTTTTAGTAAATGGTTCTTAATATATTATATTGGTCAGCGTTTTATGGTCTTGAGAGTCAACTCTGTAATAATGAAAGACAAATGTCCCTCAAGAGACACGAAAGAGACGTTAAACCAGCACAAAGACACAGGAAATACTACAGAGAGACGCACAGGGATTATTACAAAGACACAAAATATTACTAAAAATAGACGCAAATGAACTAGAGACTCAAAACTACCAACCAAACTCATGAATATGTATTTTATTTAAGCCTTTAATCTCCTAAAACATAAATAAAATACAGAGACGCCGACATGGAGGAAGAGGACACAAGGAAGACAGAGACCGCCAGGACGCACGAGGAGGACGAGGTAGAAACCCAGGAAATGGCAGAAGAAGACAACTTGGAGGAGGAGCTGCAGGAGGAGGAGCTGCAGGAGGAGGAACGGGAGGAGGAGCTGCAGGAGGAGGAGCTGCAGGAGGAGGAGCTGCAGGAGGAGCAACGGGAGGAGGAGCTGCAGGAGGAGGAGCTGCAGGAGGAGGAGCTGCAGGGAGCCTGCCAGTCGGAGGTGAGGACTTCCTGTAGCCGTGGTGACCTTCAGCTCCGGGCTGAGCAGCATCAGTGTTCACGTCTGTTTGTCGCTCTGCCGCTAAGAAATCTAAAGTAATAAAAGATATGATGATAATATGATAATATAGAATGATATGAATAATATTTCATAAGCAAATGAAATCCTGTGTTATGGTCTGTTACACACCCGTCACTCAGCCTGTAGCCCCGCCCCTAAAGCGCCCCCCGCTCTACGGTCTGTGCGACTCATGAACCTCATGCTGTGACTGACACCATGAACTCATGTTTACATGTAAATATAACAAACAACAGCACAACACAGTGTGCGCATGCCGTTTGTGTCTTTGTGTTTCCAGGCCCCCTCTGACCTGAAGCCCCCCCTACCCGACCCGGCCTTCAACAGGAGGTGCAGCCTCCTCCTCAGCGACGTAGGTCACCGTGTTCTAAACCTTTTCTTTATTACTGGTGTTTAAAGTGGTTTCTTTCTTCCAACCTCCGTTGGTTAGCATTTGGTTAGCATTTAGCTGCTAACGGCTAGCAGACACAGACAATAACACAAAATCACATCAATACTAATATATAAGAATTTCGTGCATTTTATCGGCTGCTCAATTTTTAAACTCACGAATAAAAAGACTGGTGTGAACTCAGAGGCACGGGTTGCCGTTGGTAACACATTCAGATATATTTATATATATATAAATATATATATATATATATAAATATATATATATATATATATATATATATATATATATATATATATATGTGAATATATATATAAATATATGTGACTATGTGTGTGTGAATGAGGGTGAAGCTGCTGGAGGAGCATGTGGGAGGAAGAGTTATTGATTCTCTGGTGTGAAACTCACCAGACTGACTCATCAGCAGCCCACTCCATGAAATCACCCTCACATCGTCCTCCAGCTGTCTGTCCTCATCCCGTCTCTCTGTCTGTCCTCATCAATCACCACATGCACATCGCACCCTCAGCGGCAGAAAAGGACTCGCGCGTCTCTTCATCGTCCTCCTGATGCGGCTCTGCGTGGTCCACGGGTTGCTTTAGAGATGCTGCTGTTACCATGGAGACGGAGACGATACCGTCTATATTTGTGTTGTTGATATATATCGTAGGACTTTGTACCACAGAGAGTACCTGCTGCGTGTACTTTGGTTTCCTGTCGCTTTGTCTAAAACTTCAGAACATACGTGACTTTCCTCCTGGTGGTCAGCACAACGCAACACGCACACACGCACACGCACACACACACACACACACACACACACTGACGTGGCTCCTCCCTGCAGGTGAAGTATAAGGAGGACTTTGAGAAGATGAAGGGTCACAGTCTGTTTGTTCCTGGAGCCGAACTCATCCACGCCAAGAACATCAGCGCCGTGATATCCGAGGTCTGTACACGCACACAGACACACACACACACACACACACGCACACAGACACACACACAGACAGACAGACACGCACAGCGTCCCCTCCTTGTGGTGTCTCTGTGTCCTCCAGTCCAAGTACAAAGACGAGGGGAGGAAGGAGGCGTCCGTGTCGCTGTACTCCGCCCTGCCGGAGACTCCAGAGACCCGGCGTGCCAGAGAGGCCTCAGACCTGCAGAGCGAGGTACCTGAGCCCCGTCGCCGGGTGGAGCGGGTGGAGGGGGAGGAGGGGGAGGAGGAGACGGGAGGCGTGACCTCCGTCTGCTTGTGTCTCAGGTGAAGTACAGAGGGAACGTGAGGGCGGACGGGTCCTCGCTCTACTCTCTGCTGCCGCAGACCACCGAGACGCAGTTCGTCAAAGAGCTGACGGAGATGCAGAGTGAGGTCAGACGGGCGGAGGGATGAAGCCTAGAAGGGTGGAGGAAGTGTGGAATAGATTGGAATCCTTCTGGTTCTTTCTCTCCCTCCTTTTAGAACAAGTACAAGGAGGAAGGAAAGAAGGAGATGAGCAGCAGCTTCTACTCTCAGCTCCCCGAAACCAGCGAGACGCAGCACGCCAGATCCGTCCAGGAGCATCAGAGCCAGGTACACGAGGGGGGCCTCTGAGACGCAGTCAGGAGGACAGCGTTGACCTTCGACCCCTGCTTGTTTCAGAATAAGTACCAGGAGGCCGGGAGGAGGAAGGCCTCCATCTCTCTCTACTCTCAACTCGCTGACACCCCAGAGGTCCACCACGCCGTGGAGATGTCTCAGCTGCACAGCGAGGTACAGCAGCACGGCCGCAGAGGGGTTTGTGGGTAACGTAGTCTCACCAAGGAGACCTCTTCTTCCCCCTCCGCCCATCAGGTGAAGTATCGGCCCAAGGTGCTGGTGAGAGGAGCCCCCCCGTCCCTCTACTCCCAGCTGGCCGACACCCCGGAGATCCAGTTCGCCCGAGAGACGGGCGAGATGCAGAGTGAGGTACGCTAGAGGACACGGGGGACACGGGGGACACGGGGGGGTCTGTTTGACTCTACACGGACCTCAGTTCCCTAAATGAACATCATGCAGCATTGAAGAAGATGGCCTCGTGTGACCTTCGAGGTGCGTTGTTGACGATGAATCTCGACCTGTTGCTTCAGACGAGGTACCGGCGGGGGAAGGAGGACGCGTCCTCGCTGTACTCCGCCCTGCCGGAGACGCTGGACACGCTGCACGCCAGAGAGGCCTCCGAGCTCCAGAGTCAGGTAGCGAGCCGCCTCGCCGCCGCCGCCGCCGCCGCGCATCCTTCCGTCTCCTCATTCTAATACAAACGTGCGAACGTCTCCTGCCGGCGTGCAGCTGAAGTACAAAGAGGCCGCGGGGAGAAGTGGCCCGTCCGCCCTGTTCCACCGGCTGGCCGAGACGCCGGAGACGGCGCACGCCAGGGAGGCCGGCGAGCTCCTCAGCGAGGTAACCGAGGCGTCCACCCCGCGTACTCGTCCCCGCGGAGACGGCCGGCTGATGAGTCTGTGTCCTTCGTCTCCAGGCGAGGTACAAAGAGGAGGCAAAGAAGGAGATGAGCGTGAACCTCTACTCGCTGCTGCCCGAGACCATCGACACGCGGCACGCCAAAGACGCCGCCGGGCTGCAGAGCCGGGTCCGTTTGTCTGTCTGAGAGTAGCAACTGGATTAATAAGAGGAGATGTTCTGGAACATTAGTCGACAGTTTTCAGTGAAATAAATCAGGATTTTCTCGTAGATTAAAGTACATTTACTGGGAAAGAAAGAAACATATTCCAAGAGAAGTAACGTCGTAAATGTGCATTTTCAGATATTCAACTGAAACGTAGAACATAAAATACCACAAATCTGATATTGTTTCATATCTCAAAATCAGCCACGTTAATGTTTTATTCTGTGGAGTTCAAAGCAGCGTGAATGAGATCTACTAGTAAACGAAATCTGGTGTTTCCTGCTTTCAGTAGCTGCTCGTGCTTCTGTTTGTGGGAGCAATAGATCGACAGCTGAAGATGTAAATAGTGACCCTCAGAACTTGTGGCCTGCAGGCGAAGTACAGAGAAGGTGTGAAGCAGCAGGCGCAGGGCAGCTTGTTCCATCAGCTCCCACAGACCACAGAGACACAGCTGGCCAAACATCTGTCCCAGCTGCAGAGCGAGGTACCCAGTGGGATTCCATTCGTTCAGTGTTGTATTGATTATTAGACGTCGTGATGAGAACTTGAGGGGCAGAATCAGAAAAGAGCAACAAACCGTTTAATATTCTCTTTCCCAATTATTATCTATGTGCTCAAAGCTCGTTTTAGGAAGTTAAACACATTGTAATTCATCTTTAACGTCTATTTTATAATCATCATCTGGAATAATTAGTTACCAAAGCTACACATCACGATAACGTTATAATGTGCTCGTGTTCACTGAGCAGAGCCTGAACGCATCACGTGACGGAGGTCTTCAGGGACGTAGTCTTTAGACTTCTGGTCACTTGGTGAACGGAGGAGCTGTAATAAGTGTTCACTGTGCAGAACAAGTACAAGGAGGCGGGTAAGAAGGAGGCGAGGACGCCTCTTTACTCCCTCCTCCCTCACACCATGGAGACGCTGCACGCCAAGGAAGCAGCCGACCTCCTCAGCGAGGTCAGAGGTCGCCCGCCCGCCCGCTCTGATACCTGAAGCTGGTTTGCCACCAACGCAACCTTTTCCTTCCAGGTGAAGTACAAAGGCAGCGTGAGGGAGGAGCTGGAGGAGTCGCTGTACTCCTCTCTGCCCGACACCGCGGACACCAGCTTCTGCAGAGAGATGAGCGGCCTGCAGAGCGCGGTGAGCGAAGCTCACGCTGCAGATACTGTCCGCACGCACAAGTACACCCTTCCTCAGTTTAATCGTTTATCGTTTAGACGTTTAGTTCTTTACACACAGCATTTATCTCCACATGTGTCTCGTCTCGTTCTGCTCTCAACCTTTGGGATTCGCAGACGTCGTCCATGAAGCTTCTCTTTCCTCTGAATGACTACAGAGCGAGGCGGCTTTTAGCTCCTCCCACAATGTTTAAATGATGACCGGATCCGTCCTGTGATCAGACAGATTATCACCAGGATTCATGATTTCACCCTGTGACGCGTCGTAGGGAGATGAAATAAACGCGAGATATCTGTCAATCAAATCTCTTTGAGGTTTCCGTCTTTTCCAGAACAAGTACAAGGAGGACGGGAGGCGGAGCCTCTCTCACAGTTTCTACTCGCAGCTTCCGGAAACGTCCGAGACTCGATTCTCTAAAGCGGCGTCAGAGTTGCAGAGCGAGGTGAGTAATTCACGTTTGTGTGATGGTCCACGGCTACAGAGATAAAAACAGCAAAAAAAGATTTGGGGGGAAACAATGTTTTGCAATTTTTTATATATTATAATATATCATATTTTTTCCGGATTTTTTTTCCCAGGATTCTTTTCAGAAAAGAAAATTAATTTTTTTCCCAAAATGTTTTAGGGAGAAACAAAATCCTGGAAGATAATTTTATGAAAAGATTTTGAGGATAAAAAAAAACACCAAAACGTCCCAAAACATATTTTCCCCAAAATTGGCAAAACGAAAAATAATCATAATCATTCCAAAACCTTTTGGAAAAGATTCTGAACTGAAGCATTTAAAGGGTTGTGATTTCTTTACAAGCTTTAAACCAACAAGCTCCTTTCTGTACATGTTTCTTGTAGATGAAGTACAGAGAAGCAGGAAAGAAAGAATCCGCCGGCTCTTTGTACTCGACTCTACCGGAGACGCTGGACACGCTGCACGCCAAACAGGCCTCACATCTGCAGAGTCAGGTGAGCACAGTCAACATCTCCTCCTGCCCGCTGATGTTAATGTTGTTTTAACACCCTCATAAAAATAATTGTTTTCTACCACCAGAGCCCATTTAAAAAGACATTGATTTTAGCTCTAATAACAAAGTTCAGCATCAGCATCAATGTGTTTTATCCGTGACCTCGTGACCTTTGCCCTGTATCGTTCCAGCTGCAGTACAAGCAGAGCCTGAAGCCCGCCCTCTTCCACCTGATGCCGGAGACCCAGGACACGCTCGCCGCCCGCCGACAGACGGAGCAGCTGAGCGAGGTGCGACCGGCTTCCTGCGTCCTCGCGCATCACACAAACAACACAGTGACGCTTCTGTAGCTCAGATCATTCATCACGGCTCCTCTTCCCCTCACAAGGTCCAGTACAAAGAGGAGGCCAAGAAGGAGGCGAGCGTGGCCCTGTACTCCCTGCTGCCCGACACCGTTGATACCCAGCATGCAAAGGGGCAGGCGGACATGCAGAGTGAGGTGCGTTCACAAAACGTTCCTCCTCATTTCACCTGGATTCATGAGAATTAAAATCCCAGGTGACTCGTCTCTCAGGTGAAGTACAAAGAGGCCGGCAGGAAGCAGGCGTCCACGTCTCTGTACCACCGACTAGCCGAGACTCTGGAGACGCAGCACGCCAAAGAGGCCTCGCAGCTCCAGAGTCAGGTGAGGTCTCACAGCAGGTAATGACCCCCCCGTGTTCCCGTGTGTGTTTACCTGCGGTGGTTTTAACCTGCAGATCTCGTACCGAGCGGCTGGTAGGGAGGAGATGTCGAGTCCGGCTTACGGCCGGCTGGCCGACACCTCGGAGACGCAGCTCGCCCGAGAGCTCTCCGACATGCAGAGCCAGGTGAGAGCGAGGCGTCGCCGCGGATCCTCGGGCCGATTGAGTTACATGTTTTTAGTACCACGAGGCGCATCACACACACTACCGGTGTGGACCATAGGGGGCGCCGCTATCACCGCTAAAGTAAAGTAGCACCTCTGTCTGCCTGTGTGTGTTTATTCGCTCCCTGATGTAGAACAAGTACAAGGAGGCCGGAACGAGGAGCCTCCCTCACAGCTTCTACTCGCAGCTGGCTCAGACCGCAGAGACGCAGTTTGCTCAGAGTGTGACGGAGCTGCAGAGCCAAGTGAGTCACGGCCGATTGATACTTATTAATACTCTATACTTGTTAATGCTCTATACTTGTTAATACTCTATACTTGTTAATACTCTATACTTGTTAATGCTCTATACTTGTTAATGCTCTATACTCGTTAATACTTATTAATACTCAATACTTATTAATGCTCTATACTTGTTAATGCTCTATACTTATTAATACTCTATACTTGTTAATGCTCTATACTTGTTAATACTCTATACTTGTTAATACTCTATACCTATTAATATTCAATACTTGTTAATACTCTATACTTGTTAATGCTCTATACTTATTAATACTCTATACTTGTTAATGCTCTATACTTGTTAATACTCTATACTTATTAATATTCAATACTTATTAATGCTCTATACTTATTAATACTCTATACTTGTTAATGCTCTATACTTGTTAATACTCTATACTTGTTAATACTCAATACTTGCTAATGCTCTATACTTGTTAATATTCAATACTTATTAATACTCAATACTTATTAATACTTGTTAATACTCCATACTTATTAACACTCAATACTTGTTAATACTCTATACTTATTAATTATATTAATTCTAGTTGTATTATTCTTGTGTGTTGAAACTTTCTCATGAACTTCTTCTTATAAAAGGAAAACCAATCAAATCAATTAAAATAAAGAATAAAAGAGTTTCCCAAAAGAAACCAAAGGTCGGTTTGTGTTTTTCAGAGCAAGTATAAGACGTCCGGGCGGCGGGACGCCGGCACGTGTCTCTACTCAGTGATGCCCGAGACGCTGGAGACACAACACGCCAGAGAGGCCTCTCAGATCCAGAGCCAGGTACATGTACACACATGTATACACATGTACACACAACCGTCTACACGATCGGCCTCATGTGCATCTGAAGCCAGTGCAGCTTCTTCATGAAGAACTGTGACGACTAAACGTTTGTAAAACATTAGAAACATTCATAAAAATACGTTAATGCGTCAATAACCATCAATAATAAATTATATGAAACGTCTTTTACTTTTGGTATTTGAAGTTTATTTTGAAATATACGTTTTAAGGACTAAATTATTGTCGTTGTTTGTCTGCAGCTGAAGTACAAAGACCAGGTGGAGCAGTCGGCATCTTTGTTCTCCACCCTTCCTCAAACCCTGCAGACGGAGCGGGCCAAGGAGGTGACGGAGCTGCAGAGCCAGGTGAGGAAACCCCGCGGGTCACGTGACCACGCACAGCCAATCACAGCTGTCACTCATCCGTGAACCCCAGTTAATTCGTTATCGGCCACGATGGCATCGCTGCATCAGCTGTCTCTGCGTTGCAGGTGAAGTACAGAGCGGGAGGGAAGGAGGACGCGTCCTCGCCGCTCTACCGCCTCCTCCCGGAGACGGCGGAGACGCACTTCGCCAAACAGATGTCGGAGATCCAGAGCGAGGTGATCGCACATCTGCTTCATCTGCTTCATCCTCTGTGCACATTCATCGCTGTGTCCAAACATCTTCTGTGTCTCCAGACGAAGTACAAGAAGGACAAAGAGGACATGTCCAACGCGCTGTTCTCTCTGCTGCCGGAGACGCTGCACACTCAGTTTGTGAAGGACATGGCGGAGACGCACAGCGAGGTGAGGACGACATGCAACAGCGTATGATGTCAACAACAACAAGGGTCCTCTTATTGGTGTCATAGTGTTACAAGTGTGTGTGTGTGTGTGTGTGTGTGTGTGTGTGTGTGTGTGTGTGTGTGTGTGTGTCAGGTGAAGTATAAGCAGGTTGGGAAGCAGCAGACGGCTTCTTCTCTTTACTCTAAACTTCCAGAGACTCTGGAGATCAAACACGCCAAAGAGGCCACGCAGCTCCAGAGTGAAGTGAGTCTCTCTTTGTCTCCTCAGACGATGTTTCTGGTTCATTGCTTCATCTTTTTATTATTGTAACTTTTGTTGCATCAATGTTTCCTCTTTTCTGCTGACAGAAGAAGTACAGAGACGAGGGGAGGAAGGAGAGGACGTCGTCTCTGTACGCTCTCCTCCCCCACACCTCAGAGACACACAAAGCCAGAGAGACGAGTGAGATCCAGAGTGAGGTACAGAAACACACCCAGAGACACACACACACACACACACACCCAGAGACACACACACACACACACAGACACACACTCATACGCTGCTGCTAGTTTCAATAAAACATCACAACCTTTTAGTCGGTCGTTGTCTAAATTAAAGTCCACAAACACCTGAAGTGTGTTTCAGTATTTGTTTTAATCACAAACCCTTTCAGAATAAAACACCTGTTGCGTTTTCTCTCCAGAACAAGTACAAGGAGAGCGGGAAGAAGGGGCGGAGCTCCAGCGCCTTCTCCCGCCTCCCAGAGACCAGCGACACGCGGCGCTCCAGAGCGCTGTCCCAGATGCAGAGCGAGGTGCTCCACCCAACTCCATATAACTCCACCCAACTCCACCATACTCCACCCACACCATCTAACTCCACCTAACTCCATCATACTCCATATAACTCCACCCACACCATCCAACTCCACCCAACTCCATCATACTCCATCATACCCCATATAACTCCACCCACACCACCCAACTCCACCCAACTCCATATACCTCCACCCAACTCCATCATACTCCATCCACACCAACCAACTCCACCCAACTCCATCGTACTCCATAAAACTCCATCCACATCATCCCACTCCATCTAACTCCACTCAACTCCATCTAACTCCACCGACACCATCTAACTCCATCTAACTCCACCTAAATCCACCCAACTGCAACTCAACCTGCTTTCTGTCGTGTTCTGTAGGTCCGATATAAAGAGGCGGGGAGGAGAGACGCCGCCGCCTCGCTGTACTCCACGCTGCCCGAGACTCCCGACACGGTTCACGCCAAGGAGGCCTCCGAGCTGCAGAGCCTGGTGGGACCACGCCTCCCCGGACAGGAGCGGGACGTTAGAGGGGAATCCAGGTTTTAAGCTCCCGTTTGACCCCCCGTGGTTTCCTCTGGTCTTTGGTGCAGGTGAAGTACAGGCAGGACGGCAGGAAGGAGGCGAGCGCGTCTCTGTACCACCGGCTACCCGTAACCACGGAGACGCAGCTGGCCAAAGAGCAGAGAGACGCGTGCAGCGAGGTGAGGAGCTCCCGCACAGACGGCAAGGAGCATTTATTTATCTGTAACAAACCATGTGCTTGGTCCTCAGGTGAAGTACAGAGAAGAGGGGAAGAAGCAGGCGATGAAGAGCTTGTACTCGCTCCTCCCGGAGACGCCCGAGACGCAGCTCGCCAAGCAGCTGTCAGAGATACAGAGTGAGGTGAGGGCCCTGAACGCCTCGTACGGCTGCTTTATTTAATCATGTGATTTATTTAACAGACGCTATGGTTCTAAATGCAATGCAGTTTGCGTCACATTGCGGTTTAATTATTGTGTTACCAAAGATGCATAAATAATCCTTTGTGTTGTTGTAGTGGAGGTTCTATAGTGGAAGGAGTTTTTGTGTCTTAATGTGTATTTAAATTATTATATTTTCAATTTAAATGATGGTTAAATACTTAATTTGTTCTGTAATTCTGTGATTTTAATATATTTTACAATCTCATAGAATATTAGAGTGAAATTAGAGTTGTTTTAATAGTATTATCTAAATAAATATGAAATAAACACGGCGACATCACATCTTAGAAGTATATTGATGAACGACTTCCTTTTGTCTCCAGACGAAGTACAAGAAGGACAAAGAGGACATGTCCAACGCGCTGTTCTCTCTGCTGCCGGAGACGCTGCACACTCAGTTTGTGAAGGACATGGCGGAGACGCACAGCGAGGTGAGGACGAGCCGATCGCTCCTATTGATCCTGACATGTAACAGCGTATAATGTCGGCGTCCTTTGGGACAGTTTATTTACACAAATACAATTTTAATAAGAACTATTGTGTTTATTTTCTAATTGAAACGTATTCATTTACTACGTTGTCCCTTTGTCCCGTGTGTCTTTGTGGGCGAGGCCTCCTCGGGGATGCCGCGGCTCACAGGCCGTAGATAAGTGCAGATAAACTGGTTGCTCGTCTATTCCGGGCTCCTTATCAGCGCCGCTGGATTCCTTCTGCTCTTCAACCCACTCAGTCCTGCAGCGCGGCCTCCTGGATCCGGCAGAGACAGCGGCGGCTTCTCTTAATATTGTTGCTGTCACGACCTTTGACCCCCACCCTCCTTTTGCTCCACAGGTGAAATACAAGGAGGCCGGGAAGAAGGAGGCCAGCGTCTCTCTGTACCACCGGCTGCCCGAGACGCTGGAGACGCGGCGCGTCAGAGAGGTCACGGAGCTGCAGAGCGAGGTACGACTCTGCCTTCGGCTCCTGGGAGACGAGAACTTTTTTTAGGGGTGAGAAATTGGATGTGCGGCGGGAGAACGTGACTGAAGACCGAAATGAGTGACAGTTCAGATCAGCAGACCTCAGATCAGCAGGAGATGGGAGCTTTGGGTCTCCAGAGGGGGCTAGTTAGCTAGCAACTAGCTAGCTTCTCTGTCTCCAGAGGGGGCTAGTTAGCATGTAGCCATTGTGTAACCGGTGCGTAGCTTTAAATCGAGCTAAGCTAAAGCCGCAGCAGAGTAAGCCGTGATGGTTCCTCCTCCAGAACAAGTACAAGCAGAGCGGGAAGGAGTCCATGGCGTCCAGCCTGTACGCTCAGCTGCCGCAGACCGCCGAGACGCAGCTCGCCGCCAAGATGTCCGACCTGCAGAGCGCGGTAAAGGAAACGCAGCACGCGGGCGCTTTGTGCGCGCCAGGTACGCTGCGAGGGAGTGTGACGGTGTCGTGTTGTGTTCAGAGTAAATACAGGGAGGACGGCGTCAGGAGCCTCTCGCAGAGTTTCTACTCGCAGCTCCCAGAAACCTCAGAGACTCAGTTTGCCAAAACCGTCTCCGAGCTGCAGAGTGAGGTGAGAACGTTTCTTTTTTTTTTACTTAAAGTGGTTTGTGGGCCGTCGTTTTGAAGCATTGCGTTTGGGGACGTGGCTGCGGCCATCTTGGATTACGACCGTTGCCAGTGAACAGGAAGTGACCATATTGGGACTGAGGAGGAGAACATAACCAAGCTAACAAGCTAACAAGGCTAACTGCCGATGTCCTCCTTAGGCCAAGTACAAGGAGGCGAGCAGGAAGGAGGCGAGCGGCTGTCTGTACCACCAGCTCCCTGTAACCATGGAGACGCAGCACGCCAAAGAGGCGAGCGAGCTGCAGAGTCAGGTAACGGCGGCCGTACGCTCTCCTCCGTCTCTGTCCCTCCCTGTCTCTGTCCCTCACCTGTGCTTCGTTCACCTGTCCTCCCCAGGTGAGGTACACGCAGGGCGGCAGGAAGGATCAGAGCAGCAGCCTGTACTCCGCTCTGCCTCAGACTCGAGACATGAACTTAGCCAAAGCTGCCATGGAGCTCCAGAGTGAGGTGACTTCATCTTCAGCTTATTCTGCTCCTTCACTGCAGCAAAAACCCTAAAATGTTTTACGCGAAAAATAACTAAATGGAGTCTGTATTATTTTAACTAAAGCTCTCAGAGGGAAGTGAAAGCTTTGAGTCGCTGTAGATGAAACGCTGCAAAGTGAAGTTGAACGTCTGTGTGTGTTGCAGAATAAGTACAAGCAGAAAGGCAGACTGGAGATCAGCAGCAGCGCTTTCCACCAAATGGCAGAAACCAAAGAGACGCAGTTCCTGAAGCAGATCTCAGAGCTGCAGAGCGAGGTGAGCCGCTGTGTTTCCATGACGACCAGGGGATGCGCGTCACGCTCGTACGCGTCGCGCGCTGATGCGCTTCTGCGTCTGCGGCTTTTCGCTCAGCGGTCGACGGTGCCGCATGTAGAGAGGGTGACCCGGGACCCGCCTCGAGTCCCAGCTGCTCAGTGTCCCGTGCCGAAGTGTCCCTGAGCAAGACACCCAACCCCGAACCGCTCACCGGGCAAACATTTTCAGAGCCATGGGTTAAAAATGTAATGTGAGTCGGTTCGTATAAAAAGTGTCAGCTAAATGACCTGAAATGTAAATCAGGAATCATTTATTGCCAAAATCTGTCAAACATACAAGGAATTTGTCTTGGCGGTTGGTGCGTGACAGCAGACACAAAACAGACAATAGACAACAAGACAGCAGTGCACAAGTAATACAATGAAATGAGATGCTAATGTATCGATGAACTCGTTTCAATTCATGGTTCAAAAAGTCTTGCGTGTGTTGCTGAGCAATTCGCTAGTCTAGAAAAATGGGTCGACGCACGCAAAGACACGCAAGGGACACGCAAGGGACACGCAAGGGACACGCAAGGGGCTCTTACGTGTCCTTGCGTCTCTCTGAAAAGGCACAACCATAAACTAGGCTTTAGGAGGTGAAGTGATGCAGCGGGTCAAACATGTGTGTATATAAATATGTATTGGTATTAGAATATTTAAAGTTTCAATGCAAAGAAAAGCACATTTTTCATTTTTTGACACATTTTTCTTTGAAGCTTTGTGAATTAAGTGATTTTTTATTTCCTCTAAAAAATTTTTTTATGGCTCCATAAAAGGATGTATTTTCTGACCACAAGGTGTGTGTTGCTTCATATCATAGACGAAGTACAAGAAGGACAAAGAGGACATGCCCAACGCGCTGTTCTCTCTGCTGCCGGAGACGCTGCACACTCAGTTTGTGAAGGACATGGCGGAGACGCACAGCGAGGTGAGGACGAGTAGATGAACACATTTACCTGGTGAAAGATTTTTATTGAGCCTGCAGGTCAATAAAGTCTGATCATTTACCAACATTGGGCCTCAAATTTGAATTTTTAGATAAACATCTTTTCAGATATTCTAAATTATATATATATATATATATATATATACTTGTTTATATTTTATATGACAATTTTATGTCATATTAATCTACCAACCGCTATAACAACATAGAGTTTGTATTCAGTCTTTAGAATCCTTTATAATCGTTTTAATTAATTAAGTTAAAATGTGTGCGTCATAAACCGCTCAGTTATTGATCTCAGGTGTCTCCTTCTTCTCTCAGAGCAAATACAAGGAGGCGAGTAAGAAGGAGCTGGTGAACAGTCTGTACTCCCTCCTGCCGGAGACCAAGGACACGCAACACGCCAAGGAGCAGAGCCAGCTGCACAGCGAGGTAGGGAACATGGGGAACGAGCTGGTAGGGAACATAGGGAGCGAGCTGGTAGGGAACATAGGGAACGAGCTGGTAGGGAACATAGGGAACGAGCTGGTAGGGAACATAGGGAACGAGCTGCACAGCGAGGTAGGGAACATAGGGAACGAGCTGTGTAGCGAGGTAGGAAACATAGGGAACAAGGTGTATAGCGAGGTAGGGAACATAGGGAACGAGCTGTGTAGGGAACATAGGGAACGAGTTGGTAGGGAACATAGGGAACGAGCTGTGTAGGGAACATAGGGAACGAGCTGTGTAGGGAACATAGGGAACGAGTTGGTAGGGAACATAGGGAACGAGCTGTGTAGGGAACATAGGGAACGAGTTGGTAGGGAACATAGGGAACGAGCTGTGTAGGGAACATAGGGAACGAGCTGTGTAGGGAACAGAGGGAACGAGCTGGTAGGGAACATAGGGAACGAGCTGGTAGGGAACAAGTTGGTAGGAAACATGTTGTGTCTGACTCATCGCCCGGTTGTTGTTGTTGTTGTTGACAATGCGTTTACAGAAGGCGTACCGGGAGGACGGGAGGAAGGAGGCCGGCTGCAGTCTGTACGCCATGATGCCAGAAACCATCGACACGGTGTTCACCAGAGAGCTCACCAAGACGCAGAGCAACGTGAGTCCCCGAGGTCATAGTGTGTGAGGTCATCGTGTGTGTGTGTGTGAGGTCATCGCACGTGTATGAGGTCATCGTGTGTGTGTGTGAGGTCATCGCGTGTTTGTGACAAGGTCCCTCTGTGAACAATAAGTACATTTTTGAGTGAAACAATAATGATACTTTAGGTAAGAACATCCATTTGAACTATATTTATCTGTGTGTATAGATGCATATAAATAATGTTCTATGATATAAAAGACATACTTTAACTAAAGCCTACGGGACTAAACACATGTTGAAGGTATGTTTACTCCTCATTGGAAGTAGAAATATCCTTATACGTATCATTAAGTATTCACTTTAAACTATATGAGGCAAAAGTAAGACTACATTTTATATAATATCCCGTTCACACACACACACACACACACACACACACTGTGTTTGCATCGTTTAGGCCTGGAAACAAAGCGCTGCTGTGTGATGCTCCGTCGCCTGAGGACACTGACCTACTACACACACACATAAACACACACACACTCACACCACCTCCTCACACACACACACACACACATACCTGTTGTGGTCACACACCTGTGTGTACTAAGGCTAAAGTATACAAAGTGAGCTGCATAAGTGTGTCAGACCGGGAGGTCATTGGTCAACGCGGTCTACTGAATGAGCAATTTTGCGCCAACTTGAGCGTGAAGCGTAGACATCTCCGCGGCAACGGACCCACCTGACGCCCCCCCAGTCTTCACGCGCTGGCATGTCTTTGTTAGCGAAGCTTCTATTGTGACAGTCTGGTTTGTGTGGGTTCCCTGGTCTCAAAGACGCTCAATGGAGGGGATCACCTGATACCCATAAATGGTCTTTATTTAACAC